GCTGCGTGAATTGTACAGGTCACCTAGGATAGTGAAGAGAGTGACACCTAGGAGGCCCCGATCGGCTGGACATGTAGCAGAGGTAGAGAATCCTTCTGGCAAATGACCATTGGGTAGACCAAGAAGGAAATGGAGGATAACATCAAGCTGAATCTTACGAAGGTGGGCTGTGAGGATAGCAAATGTATGGAGTCGCCTCAGGATTGTGACCAGTGGCGGGTTCTACTACCAGGGAGTTAATTTAACCATTTAACTTTCCTTCCCCTTTACCTAATATCATTTCGTCTATTCGATGTCATATATACAGTACACCCTCATCCAGCACAGGAGAAACGTTCCACGATAGCGGCACAACCGGTGAAAATGCATTGGACAAACTTCAAAATATAATATGGAATTAATGGCGGTAAGGAGATGGACCGTGAAAAGTTGAAGTAAATAAAAGAAAAAAATCAACATGCTGAATTTTTATTTATTTATGAACTGCGTAATAAAGTATTTATGGCAAGTTAAGAATGCCGCGTTTTATTCGTCCCCATGTTTGAGAAAAAATTATGAGTTGCATTTGATTATTTCATTTGCTCCTTTTTTTATCTGGGCAACAGGATCTGAACTAGTCAGATAATGTCCCTGTATATTTAATTCAAAATTTAATGGTTAACATAGTCAAACTCTTAGCTAAATCACAGAATATTCCTCAACAATTTTTATGAACAAATTTTAATACATCTTCTGCTTCCATATGCTGTTTTTATGCATGTGATGGCAGAAACGATTGTACAAGGCCTGAAGAACTTAAAAAAAGTTATAACTGTTAACAATAGTAAATGGATCGATACCTTCTTATGCTACCTTTCTTGAACGGTAGTTTACTAATGAAAATTATAAGACAATCAGGGAAAATACCTGTACATAGTGAGCAATTACAGGTATACCTTAATGGACAATGAAGTACATATGAATAAGCTTTTAGAATTTTACTTGTTATTTCATCATAACCTGATGAGGTTTTTATTTAAAGGAATACAATTCTTATCTCAGCACCAGTGGTTGTAATAATTTTAATACCAAGGAATTTACTGGGAAATGAATGTTTTAAAAGTAATATTGCATCTTCTTTTCTCACTTTATATAAATTTAAACATTTGGCTATTGTTACAAACAAATTATTGAAAGCATCAGCCACCTTTTCTCGATATGGTACTTTTAAATACCTCTGAAACTTCTGTAAAATTCTACCACACTGCATGGTGCTACAATCCAGAAGATAGCCATCTTCAGGACCTTTATGTTTGCAAGACAATTTTATTCTTTGTGTAATACAGTCATTTTTTTATTTTCCATATACTTTTATATATAACTGGAAAACCAGTTTAAAAGATATTTAGAAAAGTAAACAGAGAAGAGTACAGAAGTACAATTTTTATTATAAAGGGTTAAGACCATCTTAATGAATGACAGCATATTATTTTATTCTGGAAAAAAAATTGCACCAAGTCACATTCTTCTCGTAAAGTTATTTTCTTCACTGCAATATAAAAATGATTTGTTTAATAAATAGGGTTAGTTTCATTACAAAACAAAGCAGATATTGAGACAGGATGTTGCAGGCATGTGTTAATACCCAACCCATGAATGTAGGCATAACCAATTAACCTTTCAAATCTACAGCTCATCTAAATAATATTTAAGAATTCAGTCCAAACCACTAAGAGAAAACAACATTTTACCATTACAAAGATCAATTGGTTAATGCTGTTCAAGGAAATGATCGTTGTTAATAGGGAAAACCCATGCATACAAAATGCACAGTTGTTAAAGAAGGTGGTATATGCAGTTCCAACTGCGATTTACAGGGTTAATGATACTGTTTTGCTGAAGTAAAGTGAATATACCAGCATAATACTGAAAGCAATGTATATGTTCTACATAAACATACATACATGTTACTAATAATCATAGAAGCTTATTACTGGTTTGTTCAATTTATGTAGCACATACAGAATTTTAAAATTTACAAGTATTTAACCAATATACATACGAAGTTCCATTAAAATGTTCATTCTTCCATTATATACAATGATATCTCTGCTGAACAGGTAACTCTTTGGACCCACTTGTCAGCACAGCATATTACGCGAATGTAAATAAAAGCAGGATATTTCCTTTTTAAAAAATTCACTTGTATTCTCTTCACTATGAGACACACGTCATCTGACCACATGCTGCAATAAAAACACTCCTATCCTCAAGTTATGGAGTCCATCCTACACCCAGGACATGGATTAACTGGATTTGATTTAAATGTATCTACCCAATAATTAAAATAATAAGCAGAGCCTCTCATGACACCAACATGACTGACATGGCAACAACTTCGTACCACATTGCTAGAAAATCTTTTTGCATACTGTATGTTTAGTCATTTGAATAAAAATTTTCCTGGATATTATCCATCGTCTAGTAAAATATAAAATGTAAAACGACGTTTCGGAGATGGGGCTCTATCTCCGTCTTCAGGTTCCTACACAGCTGGGCCCACTAGATAGAGCTAATCCCTATCTCCGGAGATAGGAATTAGTCACCATCGTCAAGAAGGTTTAGATCTGTATGTTTAGGTTCATCATATTCAGCACCTCTTACACATTTTTGACACTTTTGGAATAAATATTGAACTTCCACCCATCATACCTGAATTGCAGTACACCTTTGATTTAAACCACTGCACACAGCTTTACCTTGAATTCAGTAAGAATTAATTTTGATAGTAAAATATCATGATTCATACACTCAAAATACTTTAGAAAAAGTCACAAAATAACCCACCCACAAGCATCTTATCATTTAGGGCACACAAGATTACATCTATCAACGTGTACAATGCTTATCAGATGAGAGACCGATTCTAAACCCCAATTGTTCTTCAATCACGATACTGTTAAGAGTTTAAAAATTAATTACTCCCCTGTACATAATTTGTTACTAAACATGAGACAGCAGAGATGTAAATTTGGTTCAGTATATTTTCCGAGGCGTCATGATGCTGGAACTGTCTTGAGGTTATATTTAGCAACTCAGAAGAAACAAATATCATGCACGAAATGCGAACACCGTTTGCTAAATTTGAATGCTTTGAAACGAATGCTTCGCGTCAAACTTGCTGATCCCCTGAACACAGGTAAAAGGTAAGTGCCCAGAATCACCCCGAAATTTTATAAAATATCCTCTTTTTTTTAAAAAAAATTCAAACTGAGCAATATCTTAATTTAGTTGGGCCAGACATTCTTAGTTACATGTCAGTAGCTGTCTGAATCACTGACAAAGGGAAGCCACACAAAAAAGAGTAGACATCAACAAGGCACTGCATATCATCAAAATCAACGTCAAAGCTAACAAAGTGCAACAAAACTAAGTAGCAGTTCAACAATTTTGGCTATTACTGGAGGTTCTCTTACAAACCTGACATTTATGCACAATATGAACTAACACAGATTGATAGAGATTAAGCCAACACTCAGAGTTGACTCCTCACATTCTTAACAGCTCATCGTCACTATCGGACTCTTGCCCATCCACGTGACTCACCAGCAGCTGGCTGGCTTCGTCGGCTGCCTCTAGCTGTATCAGAAGAAACACATTACATGAATTACTAGGAAGTATAAACATTAGAAGCAAATTAGGTTCCCTAGTAACCTCTCTTTCTTTTATAGATCCTGAGATGTGTAACAGCCACAGTTCCTTGGTCCTTCGTTGATCACCTCATTCTAAAGCTATGTTATTAATACAAGGCGCCTTACCTCTGCTTCCCTGTAAATCTTTCATGACATGGAGCTTCACATGACCTGGCAGGAAAGAGGCTAACCCTTACATTGTATAAACTTGCCACACAAGTTACAGCAGAGAGAATATTCTCAGATATGATACTCACACTTTTCCCACTGAGACTTGGTATGAAAGATTATGATATGTTTGATATAAGACAGTACAGGGGACCCAGAATCAATAACCTGATATTTAGTTTCATATTTTGTTACTGTATTAAAACATGAGATGGTATGTAGCATTCTCAGTATCAATTAAAATAATGTTTAATGTGAATCAAAGTATCACTTTGAAAATATAATATGCAAGTTTCATCCTTGTAGGAATCTAACATTCTTACACCCAAATTATGCCTTTCTAAGAAAAAGAGGAGTACTAATATAAAACATTAGCCACGGTTAGCCCATCTTTGAGCAGTAATTATATTGCATACGTAGTCCTTTTCTTAATACATTTATATGAAGCCATTTACGATCAGTTTTTGTTATTGACAACATTTTGTGAACCAGTTTGAACTGGTTCAAATTGGTTACTGAACACTTAACAGCTTGCTCTTAAATCACTGAGCTGTAACATGAGATTACTTACCAAACAGAAGTGAATCTTTATTTAAAATGTTTCAAAGCCTTGATTGCCTTCAAGACTGCTACAGTTACAGTTCCTCTACTGTCAGCATAAATAATTTATTCATAATGAACAATTCTATTTGTAGTGATGCAGCTGAGAAATGGTTCGGTTACATTAGTTTCAGGTTATGTTATAATATATTTATCTGGGAACCTATCATAGCTCATTCTTTCAACATGTTCTTTCTAATTTCTTTTTTCAACTGCATGAAATTTGTTATTAATTATTCTCGGGTGATCAGCCATGTGAGAATGGAGTTGTGATCCAACATTTCAGACAGTCTCTGCCTCTGGGTTGACTTAAATGTATTCAGTCACCAGGACAACTTCAAATCTTGCATGTTACTAGTTGAGTTTGTATTTTTATCATTATTTCATTTCTGTTCTCCTCAAAGTCAGGTGTGACCTGGCTGTTTTGGTGTTTACAGATGTAACACAGTACAAGGGAGCACATACTTCTAAGGTGTAACTCAATTCTTAGAGAGATAAAGTTAAATATGTTCCATTGTAACAAAGTGATATCTATCTTCAATGAAACCAAGATAAAGCAGGTGCCTATCTATAATGTAAAATTTCTGCAGTTAATACTCATTTTCTGTTTCCACACGATTTTGCTCAATGCTGCACTTTTGATGTTCCATTCAATTACAAGCCTGACCCACCCTTACCACAGTCAATCCTCAGCTCATTTATGACCATTAGTAAACAGCTTCAAATCTCTACGTAAGGTAGAACAGTCCCAAGGTTTTCATATTTCCTTTTGGTTGTAGCCACGGAGTTCAAGAAAAAGTAGTGATGCATCTGGACACAACAGTTAAAGCAACTGAAGCTTGTGAAGCTGGCAGTTAAACAAATTGTCAAAATGTAATGCTGGAAAGATGTACGTCTACATCGTTTTAAAAGCAATGTCTAAATTGGAGTAATGATTCAATAAAACAGAAATTAAGGAAAACTGGATATGAAGACATGAACGAGATCAAGTGGGAGTGGTTTGTAAGTCCAAAGGTTAGAAACTAGTAAGTATCTGGACCAAAGGTACAGGAACATGCAAAAGAAGTGGCTGAAAAGTGAATTTAAAGCATGGAATGGATGGACATAGAGCTTCAGAAGGGAACTTGACAAAATGAGACTGTCTTTTCATGCATTGCCAAACAAGGCTCTTTCTTTAGAAGGTGGAAGAAGTTTGCCTCTGTGGTTTTATGACTACACTGACCATTTTGTTGTCCCCCATTATTATCACTGTCAATTATTCTTTGGTATATTTTACCGTGCAAATGTGTTAGATGTGGCAAAGAGCCATCTACTGTTCGCGACTGTAATCTTGAGACTTGAAAGGAATGCAGGAAGTCAGAAATGTTAAAGGCTACTGCATAATAGACACTATCTTTCCTCTTCATCTCACTTCCTCACCCTGCAAGTCTCAAGATTACAGTACCTAGATTGTACACTAAAAAATAATAAATGCTTATGAATGATGATTTGGGGACAATGTTTATGCAGTTGTGGACTATGTTAAAGTACAATACCAGCTTCTTCCAGGTTCAAATGCAGTAAACCAATAAAAAACTGTCATACTAGTCAGGCCTCCTGGCCAGCATTCAAACCCAGGAGTTGTCAAATTCAACACAGTGTAAACGATTACGAAGCCCTGTGCATTCATAACCTAAGTTGTTCACTTTTGGTAACTTCTTGTGAAGACTGTTATTTGTGAGGGCAGAAGTGGATACCTGGTTCTGAATGCTAGGTGGACCTTTGTAGTACATGTACTACAAAGAGACGGGGATTTTCTGGTTTACCCATCTTAAGTCTAAAAATTACCCTGTACTAATTGCTTTAAGAGCATTACTTTTAAGAAGGGTATGTTATCCACCTGTTGAAAGGTTCTTTGTCCTGCGTGCGAAAGCGTCGTTTTCTTGGGTTAAACCCCGGACCCTGACTCAAAAGGAATCTTTTGTTACTTATTCCTTGGTTGGAATTTGTAAAATTAAAAATTAAAATTGTGAACGCATCTGCTAGCAGGGATTCATTCGCAACCTTGACTTCATTTTGGTCCGTCGAAGCAGCTTGTATTCACGAAAAGCTCATTTTTTAACATTAATTAGAAATTATCCAAACTGATACTTCTTCATACGCAAGGAAATAAACCAGTGTCGCCTTCCTTCAAATCAGTTTACTGTAAACCACTGATCGTTGATCCTGGCCGTGAAAACTTCCCGTGAGCCGAGTCCCACCTTACCGACTGAGCCAATAAACACCGAGACACTTCTTTGCCTGAGCACTACCAGGTAACAGCCGACAGCCGAGAAACGACAAGCACGGCACCTGGTCCGAGGTGCTGAAGCATCGTTATGTATACAACGTATCGGAGACTAACACTGTCTTACTATGAACAATGTGCAGTGCCCATGGCCAAACTATTCTCACAGACCTTTAGAAGCAATGCTGTCAGATTAGACATAATGACACTGTTCACATCTCAAAGCAACATAACACACCCAAACATACAAAGAACAAGCAAGCAGCCACCTGACAAGGAGTACAGAACAGTTGCTTCATCTTTTCTGGACCTTAATGCAAATATTCAATAATATGTAAGAGGAAAGAACTGTGAATGACTACAAAGGGATGAATTTGCAAATGACCTGTAGAAATGTATTTTTCGAAATAATTTATAAACTTAAAATTCCAGAAACTCTATTCAACCCAAAATGAAATGCTTCTAAGACTTGGCTCTGAAATAAACATATGTAATCTCTTTCGTGCTATCAATAGTTGGTGCCAGGAAGATGGAAAATAATGGACAGCACCTCATGTAACATTAACTTCAACAGGAACCACTGGTGGCAGGCTGTATCTAGTGCAGGGGAAATGAGATGGTATAAATAACTGAGGACTGGAATTATACAAATGAAACTATGGATAATTTGTATTGGCACAAACAAGGTATAAAGTCCACTAACCCCATGGTGCAGAGTCCTTCCTCAGTCACTTCACATTCCCATATTATTCTCCATTTCATTTTGTGTGATTTTCACTGCTGCTTTCCTTACTTTAATTTTATTTTCATAATCTGGTCTTTCGCTCTCTCTCTCCCACAGGGCCTTACTGAGGTCCACTCTTATCCCATTGGCTGTCCTGCTTTGCCCATATTTTGGTTCTCCCTTCTCACACTGACCCAACCAGGGCTCTGGCTTGTCCATATCTATCCCAACATTTGCCCAGTTTGCTCCTCATCTGAAGATGTTGCGCCACGCAGTCCGACCAACATTTCGGAGGAGCTTACTGCCTCTATCATCAAGGTGAATAGTAAGCTGCATTCAGAAATGTTGGGGTAGATACAGTAGTAGGCTGAACAATGCTCTTCTGAAGCATCGGTCAATATCTATCAGATCTAAAACTTCTTGACGATGGTGAAGAGTCAATTGAATAAAAAATTTTCTTGGATATTATCCATCGTCTAGTAAATATAAAACGT